AGCACTGAATTACAACCCCTGCCCCACCCCAGTAATTCTTAAATTTGGCCTCTTAATATTATCTCAGATATCTTGAATATTCTGGTCATGGTCTCTTAACAACTTATATATTATCAACTTTATTTTCAAGATCATATACTTTTATCTTCAAGGTCTATGAAAATATCTTCTAAGGGGTCTAATATATTGGTGATACTTTTCACTGAATTTTTAATTTGATTTACTAAGTCACTTCCACAATATCCATTTGGTTCTTTTTCAGAATCCCTTTTATGAAATGATCTTTTACTTTCTGTATTTTCCAAGTTCACTACTTACATCTTCTTTTAGCTCACTGAACATCTTAATTTTCTAAATTATTTCTCCATCATTTTCTCTAATGTGGTGTCAATGGGATCAGTTGTTGAAGGGTTGTTGGCTATTCTGGGTGACTTGTCTCTTTGCTTTTTCATACTGCTTATATGTCTACCCATCCGTTGGGATGATTATTGTCTTTTTCTTTTGTACAAGGGACTATTTAGTGAGCTTCCATCTCTTAAGGGCCCCAGGCTGGGTGAATATCCAGGAACTGATAGTTTTACTTACTGTGTGTCCTCTGCTATTCCTACTACAAGGACTACTTTGAGAGAAGACATTAAACCCTATTTACTACAGACACTTCAGAGCAAAACTAAATACTAACCAACTTTAGAAAAAAACAAAATTGTTGACAATATTCTCCACAGTTTCACTGACCCAGGTATAAACTTGTAGTACTGTTCTGGAATAGGTTGGAAAATTAGTTACTAATAGGAGTAAAATGGCTATTATATACAGGAGCTAAAAAAGGAAGGAAAGAAAAATTGGGCTAAACAAGAAAAAAGTGAAAAAGTAATGAAAAGATAGAAAAGAACCATAAAAAAACTAAGGCAAAAAGAATAAGATGGGGCAGGGGGATTTAAGATAGTAGCAAGTAATGTAAGAGAAAAGAGGAGCTAAGAGGAACAAATGTAAACCTGAGCTAAAAAAAAACAAAAAGAATTATTCCACTAAATGCTTTAAAACACTAGAAGAAATACAATCAAATGGATTGAGGGCACAATATCAAATTTTAGGGTAACAACTCTTAAATCAAAATGAGTAATATATGTATGATCAAAGTTGACATTAGAACTGTTTACAATAAAACATGCCAAGGTGGAGAAAATTCTTATTGAGTCATCCTGGTTTGGACTTCATCAGTTTAGAAAATGCCCAACACTCTTCAGCTTTTGATTTTCCCCTAGAGGTTCTGGGGGCACAGGAGTAATATCCCTGGTTGCTGTGTACTTCCACCACCCAGCTCTCCATTCTTTTTTTTAATATTTATTTTTTAGTTGTAGGTAGACATACAATATCTTTTTGTTTTTTTAATGTGGTGCTGAGGATCAAACCCAGTGCCCCAAACGTGCTAGGCAAGCACTCTACCATTGAGCCACTAACTCCAGCCCCCAGTTCTCCTTTTATTAGCCCAGGGGCCTAAGGCTGGATGCTCAGAGGGTTGCTTTGCTGCATCTGCTGGATGTTTTTGTTGTATGCAACAGCACCCAGTACTTGGCTCAGGGCTGTTGCCCACCCGCTCACCTCCACACGCTCTCTTCAAAGTAGCATAGATCCTGGTGTCTGTCTGCAAGCACTGGACCAGTGGTTCTAGGCTCATGTGGCTGGTCTGCAGTGCAGAAGTGTTTCCCCTAAACCAGCAGATTGTGGACCAGTGTCCCTGCTCACCAATAATAGGCTCAGCTAGTCCAAGCTCCCCAGGTGATTAAAAATCACAGATGCCAACCCCCTCCACTGTCTAGAACAAAAACAACCTTTCCACCTGTGCATGAGCTCTCACTGCCCACAGCTGTGAATCATGGGCATACATCCTGGTTTCTGAATTCCTGTGGAAGATGTATGGAGGGCTGGGTCAGGTAAGTACTTCCTGGGAATGACCAGCTCTGGGGGCTGCTCCGCCCCACTTCCCTTGTCCTCAGTGAGGAGGAAGGTGTTTCGGCAACTTTGGGCAAGTAGGGATCCTTCAAGTTTCTTCCAGACAAATAATTGAGACATGCTTATGCAGAGGTACTCCCTCTATTTTTATCTGTTGCTATCTGAAGGTAGAGAGAAGCTCTTTTCATTTATTTTAGAGAGGCTGATCACCTGTGGACTCCACAAAATGGCTGCCATAGCAAGAATGGCTTTCAGTCCACAATTTAGATTAAACTGCCTGATCTCCTCACTGATTCAGCCTGTTTCTATCACATATCAATTTTTTCTGTTTTTCATTCCAACTGTTAAGAAAGTGATCTTGTGTGCTTTTCCTCTCCTTTTTTCTCCATTTCCTTCCCCCATCACACCACCCTATTCAGGTTCAAGATTAAGGAATTCTGTCCTTATTATTTTCCATTCTGATAATCTCTGTAACTCTTCAAGTTTCATACTGTCCAACATTGGGTCTTAGAGCATTTACTCTCTCACCCAGCTCTCTAGTCAACTGTTCCTTCACCATCTCCTTTCTGAGCTATTTAGGAATCCAGAGTCACTGCCTAGTTATACTCCACCATCTTTCTCTCTCCCTACTTGACATTTTCAAAGGTACCCAGGAGGCTGAGGTAGGAGGATAAAGTTCAAAGCCAGTTTCAGCAAAAGCAAGGTGCTAAGCAACTCAGTGAGACCCTGTCTCTAAATAAAATACAAAAAGGGCTGGGGATGTGGCTCAGTGGTCAAGTGCCCCTGAATTCAATTCCCAGGAAGATCCAATAAAAAAAAGAATTTATCATATTGTACACCTTAAGTATGTACAGTTTATTGTAGTTCAATTAGACCTCATGAAATCTCTTAAAAACACAACAAAGTCAAGCATGGTAGCACATGCCTATAATCCCAGCCACTAAGCAGGTAAAGTAGGAGGTGCTATTAATTAGAATATTAGATGTTCTCCAAAAGCTCATGTGAAAATCAATGCAAGAAAGCTTAGAGGTGAAATATTTGGGTTATGAGAGCCTTAACCTGGTCATTGTATTAATCCACTTGAATGGATTAACTGGGTGATAAATGTAGGCAGATAAGGTGTGGCTGGTAGAGGTGGGTCATTAGGGACATGCCTTTAGGGATATATATTTTGTCCCAGATCTACAGTGTGCCCCTCCCTCCCCCTTGTTTCCTGGTGCCACATCCTAAGCAGCTTTTCTCCACCACACACTCCAACCATGATGTTCTGCCTCACCTCCAGACCCAACGAGTGGAATTGGTCATCTATGAACTGAGACCTCTGAAACATGAGTACCAAATAAACTTTTCATACTTTTAAAATTATTCTTTCCCAGTCTTTTCGTCACAGTGACAAAAAAGCTAACAGGAGGATTTCAAGTTTAAGGCCAGCTTGGACAACTTAGCAAAACCCTGTCTCAATTAAAATTAAAAACAGCTGGGGACGTAGCTCAGTGGGGTAAAGCAGTGCCTAGCATGTTAGCATGTGTGAGGCACTAGGTTCAATCCTGAGTTCCATAATATACATACACATATACACACATACATACACACACACACACACAAACACACACACACACACACACACACACACACACACAGAGAGAGACAGTAATATGACCTCTTCCTTTCAGGTTTAAAAGAAAATTTGTATTCTCTTTTTCTTTTTTAATTGATAAGTAAAAGTTATGGTATACAACATGATGTTTTCATTTATCTACATATCACGGAATAGGCAAACTGAGCAATTTACATATTTATTAACTCATATTTATTATAAGAACATGTAAATTATTGTCTAAGAAATTCTCAAGTACACATTATTATTAATTGGAATCACAATGTTGTAAAATAGATCTCTTAAACTTTTTTTTTTCCAGTTTTGGGTGGACACAACATCTTTATTTTATTTTATGTGGTGCTGAGGATCGAACCCAGCACCCCACGCATGCCAGGCAAGCGCGTTACCGCTTGAGCCACATCTCTAGCCCAATCTCTTAAACTTTTTCATCTTGTGTAACTGAGGTTTCATGCTCTTTGATCAATATCTCTTCAATCCCTAGTTGTTGTTTTTGTTTGTTTGTTTTTAGTTGTAGAACACTATACCTTTATTCCATTCATTTATTTTTATGTGGTACTGAGGATCGAACTCGGGGCCCTGCACATGCTAGCCGAGCGCTCTACTGTTGAGCCACAATCCCAGCCCCTCAACCCCTAGTTCTTAATAACCATTATTTTATTGTTTTTATGCATTTGACTTTTTTGGATTATATATATAAGTGAGATCAATGCATTATCTTTCTGTTATTCTCTTTCAACATGATAGTAATACTTCCACGGCATCCCACACAACAATATCTCTACGGGGGGGGGGGGGGGGGGGGGGGGGGGGGGGGGGGGGGGGGGGGGGGGGGGGGGGGGTGAGGGTTACCAAGAATTGAACTTAGGGGTACTTTACCACTGAGCTACATCTTCAGCCCTTTCTAAATTTTTATTTTGAGATAGGGTCTCACTCAATTCCTTACAGCTTCACTGAGTTACTGAGACTAGCCTCAAACTTGCAATTGAGTTAAGTTGCTGGGATCAGAGGTATGTGCCATTAACCCTGGCTAGTCTATATTCTTAACTCATTAAGAATTTCAATGCCAGGCACTCATTAAGATTACAGAGAGACAAATACACTGGCAAGAATGTATTCCCCAAACACCTACTTCCATACCTAATTACAGGAGTCCTGCTCTGCTTTCTACCTTTCTAAGGAAAAGGATATCATTCCAGTCATCTYTATCTTTGCATGACTTACCAAAGGATACACTTCAAAAAATTTTTTTTATTGCTCTCACACCCTTCAATCTTCCACATTACCTTTCTGCTTTGCCATCTTCCTGTTTCCCTTGATAACAGTGATGTTTGTGATTCTATATTTCATTTTATTTCATTTTCTCACATCTAACAGGTATTTTCTAAAGATATATTTGAGGATAAGAAAACTATTTCTATACACTTACCTCAAGTACTGGTCCAGCTCCAAGAATAATCTGTTCTACTCCACTGGCAAATCCTTTCTGACTGAGTGCAGTAAGGTGGTGAATAAGAAAGTTTGTGCTTTGAGTCTTCCCAGAACCACTCTCTCCTGAAATCACAATGCACTGATTCTTTTTACGCTGAAGCATAGCATGATAAGCTACATCAGCCACTGCATATATGTGGGGCTCAAGTTTTCCCAATTGGTGGTTATCATACATTTTGACGTATTTGGGGTTATAAATAGGAAGAAATTTGAATGGGTTAATAACTATTAGAATACTGCCAACGTAGGTATAAATTTTTTCATGCTTAAAGCGATTTCGTAGGTTTTCTAAAAGAGTTTTCTCATTCAAGTCAGGTAAGCTACATAAATCATCAAAGTCTTTCTGTTGAGGCTGTGGAAGAAAACCTCGTTCCATCATCCTGCGTCGTTCTTCCGTTACCCGTAGCCATGACTGAAGGCTACCATAATGGATTGATCCATCAAGGTTTTTTTCCCGCAGAAGAAAGCGGTAGTCCTCTCCACTTAAGCGATTTTCCAGAGCCATTCGTGGCCACAACATCATTCGCTGAACTGGACAGTCTGTTGGATTGAGTATCCATTCTTCTCCACCAAATTCCTTTACCTCTGCTAAAACATAACATTTTGTTTTGTCTAGATGAAGTTTGTTTATAAGAGTGTCAATCACCTCAGCAGCTGTGGTGTTTTTCCTGGCAGGAACTGGACAGTAGATTGTCCCTTCTGAAATTGTCCCAGGATATATACGTAATGTATGTTCATTATCCTCAAAGCGTCGTCTTCCTCCATCACTTATATTCATATTGGATCCTGTCCCATCAGCATAAATAGTATGTGTTGTTCAAGATCATGCAAATCATTTTCTTGGTAAAAAAAACTGTAATATAAAAGACGTGAAACATTTACAAGTCATATTAAACATTGCTGTCTGACGCTCAAAAAAGAAAGACTTAACAAACACATTCATTACATACATCTTTTAGAACACAAAATTCTAACTCTCAGTACAGGAACAAGTACTGCAAATAGTCTCATTGAGACTACATCCTATTGTCCAAATAAAGAGTATTTTCTAAAACAGTAACTGGCAAAAAATATATACATACATTTCAATGTTTTGTTTTATCAACAATTCAGAATTTAAAAAGTACAATATCCCCTGATATTTCAAATGATTCTAAGTTACTTGGAATTAAAACCAAGTTTGTTCTTTATTCACTAAGGACTGGACTAAAGGACAGAATAATTACACAAAGCTAGTCACCTTGCACCCAAATTTCTTAAAGWTGATGCAAAATCAAGAAAGAATGCTTTCAGTGGTGCAAAAACTTTGTGAAATACATTAATTACAGAAAGATCAGAAAATAGCATTATAATCAAGAAAGCAATGAGAGAAACCTGTTATGTAAATAGACATAGTTTCAAAGAACTCTGGGTTTTGACTCTCCTCTTTGCCCAAGATGGGAGAACAGACAAGTTTGACCAGAGTAAGAAAAAGATTCTGCTGGACTTACTGAGCCAAATTGAAAATATTATATAAGTAGGCACCATTATAAATTTATTCAACCTCCTTTTGTCTTTTGATGTTAATATTCTACCTTTCCACCTAACCTCATTCCATTCCACATACCCTATCAATCTTCTCATATTCCCCAAACACTACTCTTTTACTCCTCACTCAGAAAATAATTACCTACAAATGGTTTCTCAACCTCAATTTATTCTTATTTTCATTTCATCTCTATTCTTCAGTTCCTGTGTAGAGAAAAATTGTTCCACATCCTTTTGAGAACAAAACCTATTTCTTATTATCTCCATTAGTACTATGTCCTACCAAAAAACAATTATCATTTGTCATCAACCCTCCTCTTTTTAGTTATTTCATCCTTTAACATATAATGTGCTATTTTTAAAAACAATAAAAATATTCAGTTATTTCAATATCATACTACCAAATATTTGTCAAAATCCTCTAATCAAGAAACTTTGTTATCTTTTTCCTAGATGATATTTCAAATATACAGATTATGGAACATATAAAAAGCAACCATATATCTACTGCTCAAATTCARCAAGTTTGAAAACTGCTATGCTCACTCAAGACCATTTTTATAAACACATGTATTAAAAACAGTTAAAGCTCCCTCATTTGCTCTATAACCCAGAAGTTATTATTCCATGTTTTTGTATTTATATATAATACTGTTTTGTTTTTAATCTCTAAGAAATATTATCACACTATAGTCTACTTTTCACTTTAGTTTAATATCATTTTTCCTATTAACAGATGTAAAGTTCAATAATGGCTAAATAACATCCCATTTCATGATTCTACCACAGTTAATCAATTCACTCACTGCCCTCCTAGTGAATATTACGATGGTTCCAACATTACACTATGAAAACAATGCTGCAATTCTCACACGTGTCTCCTCATGTGTATTTGCTAGATTTTTCTCTTTATAATTAAGAGTAAAATTACTGCATTTGGAGTATCTTGACTTTGCCAGATATTAACAAAATGCTTTCCAAATGGTTACTCTAATGTCCATTTCAAACAAATGTAGCAGAGTTCAGACTTTTCTGTTTCCTTACTAAAAGTCAGTATTGTCAGAATATTGAGTTTCTGCCAATCTAAAGTACAAAAAGATTATTCTTTAATTTGCATCTCCTTGGGCTGGAGATGTGGCTCAGCAGTAGCGCGCTCGCCTGGCATGCGTGCGGCCCGGATTCGATCCTCAGCACCACATACCAACAAAGATGTTGTGTCCGCCGAGAACTAAAAAATAAATATTAAAATTCTCTCTCTCTCTCTCTCTCCTCTCTCTTTAAAAAAAAAAAAAATTGCATCTCCTTGATTATCAGTGAAGATTGGCAACTCTAACCATCTCATTTGCCATTTGGGCTAAGTTGCTCATTCATTTTGATCTCCTTTTTTAATAAGGTGTCTTCTCCTTAACAGTTTAAATGAGTTTTTCATATATTAATTTTTTTGGTATTTTAATCAGCTTTCAGTTGATTGTGTGGCAAAATCTCCTATCAACCAGGGACTTACCTCTTTTATTTACAACACATTTTGTTATAGAGAAGTTTTTACTTTTTTGAATATTTTTTATTTTGTTTATTTTTTAGTTGTTATTTATTTTTATGTGGGGCTAAGGATCGAACCCAGGGCCTCACACATGTGAGGTGAGCGCTCTACCACTGAGCCACAATCCCAGCCCCTAGAAGTTTTTACTTTTAAAGAGAAAATTTATTGATTCCTTATAGCTTGTCCTTTTTGTATCTTTTCTCTCTCCACCCATCGGCCCCAGCCTTGTGGTGCTGGAAATTAAATCTAAGGCCTTGCTCAGGGTAGGCAAACAGAATATCGTTTAGTTACACCCACAATTTTTTTTTTAACAAAAGTTTATTCTTAAATTTACAACAGACTCCACACAACACTTCATTGTAGCTATAGGTGGCAAAAGATATTACAGTGGGGGTACTGGTGTTTCATAGGAATGGAATTAATGGTCACCATCATTTCAGGCACAAGAAACGAGTTACTTTTTGCCAGATTTCTTAATTCCACCTGTGGCCAAGGGGCCCTTCCCAGTGGCCTTCACTTTTAGCTCCTCAAGTTTCTTCTGCTCCTGTTTTTGTTTCTGTTTAAAAGCCTTTTCTTCCTCATCCATCTCCTTGGACTGCTTCTTAGGCTGTTTCAGAGGCTTCTTCTTTCTTGCTACCTTCACAGCTGGACATGGTGCCTGCCACCCCCACCTCAGACCTTGATCCCAAACCGGAAACACCCACAATTTTTTGAGACAGGAGTCTAAAAGGCCCAAGGTGGCCTCATCCTCAAAGTTGTTTCATCAACCTCCCAAATAGATGAGATTACAAATGCAACTCTGCATCCAGGTTGTTTTTTAGTAAACAACGGGAAAAAACGGTTGTATTTCATTCTTAATGCATGCTTGTTTTCACTAGTCATTTTACTTCACATAAATCTTTACAATTCTTCCCTTACAGTTTTTATTACTGTCATCCTCACTTTACAAATGATAGAACAAATGCAGAAAGATTGTATAACTTGCCCAAAATCATAACTAGAATATGATAAAGATTTAAAAGCAGGCAGTCTGGCTCTAAAGTTTATTATCTCCTGGTAGTTTTTCTTTAAATACTTCTTTATGCTGAGGACATAAAGTTATCCTATATTTTCTTACAAAAGGCCTAGGTTTTCTTTTTTTTTGTTTTTTTGTTGTTGTTTTGTTTTGTTTTTAGGTCTTTAATTCACATAATCTATTTTCAGGCTATTGTAAGACAGGGCTCTTAATTATTTCACTCCAACTCAAATTAACAATTAACCAGCACCTAATAGTCAACTCTCTGTGCACTGATATATAATGCCACCTTTGCCATATACCTAACAATGTGTTCTGGGTTTTATATTCTGTTCCACAGCTGTATTTGTCTATCCCTGAGCCCATCTTAATTATCACAATTCTATAATAAATTCTCATATATGAAGAACATATCTCCAAAATTTGGTTTTTCACTTTGGCTATTTACCATAATAATTTCAACATAAGTATGTTTACTACCATGAAAAATATATTTTGACATTTTGAAATTGCATTTTTATAGATTAATATTGGAAAGAACATTATTGACTTTTCCCACTCATGAACACTATGTTGTTGGTGTTCTCCAGCTGCTTTAACTGCAGATTTCTTTCACTTCTAAAATTTGTCATTTTCATATCCACCTGATCTTTTCTCTACCTACTTAAATTTCACAACTGTTTTAATATAAGGGCTATTACTCTCACTCATTTTTTAAAATTCTAAATATAAAACTTAATATTTTTAGGACTAACATTTTAATATCATCCAGACTGAATTTCTCTTCTGATTGCTGATTTTTGTGTATCTTTGTTAGCACTACAGATGGTCTCTTATGTTTGAGAATTTATATTTGGAGGTATACTTCAGATGAAACTTTCATTTTTCATACAAACACTGAGAATCCACTTACTATTTTGTTTCAAACAATGACACTACCATAATTGAACCTTTAAAAAGTAACTTTTTTTTTTTTTTTTTTTGAGACAGGGTCTCACTATGTTGTCCAGGGGACTGTGAACCCATAATCCTCCTGTCTCAGCCTCCCAAGCAGATGAGATTACAGGCAGGTGCCATTGCATCTAGCTTAAAATTAATGATTTTTAATATTAACCAATATTAAATGTTCCCCAATTATCCCCCAAAAATATTTTTAAAAGTTATTTAAGTAGAATCAGGAGTCTGCTCTGCTATGTTTTTGTTCTCCTGAATCCCTAAGAATAAGGCTTCACGGAAGCAAAGTACTCCTTACAGCAGGAAGGCTGGACTCCATTACTTCAGGAAATGCACTAAATGACTACAATCTGATTCTTAAGGTTATATAATATGACAACCCTAAAACTAAACTCAGAACACCTTCTTTCTCAAAAGAGGAGCGCTATCCTAAGCTGTGTGTAAACCCACTTCAATTACATCTCCCCATTACCTCTAAGAAGCTAAAACCTCTTCAGCTGCTTTAACTGCAGGTTTCCAGCAACAGCCACAGCACAGTCTTCTATTCCCACTTATGTCAATATGATTTTCTTTTGTTATTGTATTAAGTCATGGCTTTGTGTTTGAATTTGCCTAAGTCAGTCTTTGCTAAGCTGATTGAAAAAAATCTATATTTGTAATTTCCAAACTTAAGCATTTATTAGCATCATCTGGGGAACTTTTTTAAAAATATACATTTCCAAGGGAAATCTAGGCAACTCTGTTATTCATAGTCCAGAGAACAGAACATGGGAATGACTATATTTCCAAGTATTTAAGAACCCACACTCTGCTCTC